AGCATGGAAGTCAACCCATGAGAATTTCTCCGGAACAAATTCACTTTTGGATTTCTTTTTGCAAGCTGAATGAGAATGGTCAAAGCAGATGGGGAGAACTTTTTGGCACAGTCCTAATCCTATGCCCATTTACTTGGGATTAAATCCTGTTGAACATGATGGGTTTTGTTTCTGCATACTGATGCACTGCTAACTCTGCCCCTAAATTAACTAAATTCCTCCTGCTCAAAAGCCAAGGCCCCCGAATCTGTTCCTTTGAGAAAATTGAGTCAAGGTCAGTGTTGCATAGCTGCACAAAATGGTTACCTCTAACCAGCTTATCCAATTTGCAATGAACTGATCTTCAAGGATAGCAGCATTTCGATTTAAGGCACAGAACCTCAGAACCCGGGGCTTAACCTGGAGCCCCAGTATTTGGGAGTTCCCCAGTTTGCCCTGTTTCCCTACATCCTTTCCCTCAGCTTACCAATCCTCTGGAGATTTCCTGTCTGCTTTTGCCCCATTCTGAAAGGTTGAAATCCCTCTCCTAAGACTCCTAAGATATAATATGCCAGTATTTTTTAATATCTTGGACCACCCTTTTTTGCTTTGATCCTGCTCTCTTTGCCTTCAGCTGCCTACCACAGGAATGTGGCCTGAAAGCCTCTGCAAACCTGAGCATGGCCCTTGAACAGAATAGGTTCTCAAGCCCTGATTTAGGCAGTACTTCTGGTGCTCAGTGTGATTCTTACAGTGTGATTCTTCCACAGCCTCATATCCTGCGGATGTGTTGGACTACAACTTCCATCATCCCTAGTGATTGCACATATGGGCTGGGGCTGATGGACTTTTTATTCCGATGCATCTGGAGAGCACTGGGTTGAGGAAGGCTGCCTCATAACAGTGCTGTAAAGGTGGCTGTTTTAGAGCCAATGTATTTTAGAAATAGAGAAAGAGAACATCGTCCTGTCCGCTGCCACTTTTATAGTTCATGGCTGAAGAAGAGATTTCAGCCAGAGACTTCCTAGCTCAGAGTTCACATTGTTGGCCAGAACATTATTCTATTTCCAGCAGCTTATCAGCCTATATGCATGGATGGATGGCTTTGTCAATTGTGGTTTCTGCAAACAGCATTTTTCCCTGTTTCTGCATTAGTTTGAGATATTTCCAATGTGTACATGTATATTTGTAAATATGTCTTGGTGTGTTTTTTCCTAATACATGTGTTGTCTTTGCTAATGCTTAATATACACAGTTTTGCTAGCAGGTTTTCCTAGTATAATGCATTTTGAACATTATTATCAGTAAGATGCACATTTCTGTGCACGATTTCCCAATTTTTGCATATAGCAGGAGACTGGAGAAATGGAAAAACCAAACAACTTTATTTTGCTTTGCATTTGTAGGAGAGAGGATTACATAAGTTCACCTTCAAATGAGATCTGAACAAATTGCTTCTCTATCCCTACTCATGTGCTCAATTCCGGGACAAGTCAGCATCTAATTTGAGCTATTTTTGCACAAATAAAAGCATTCTACAGCAATTGAACATTTGCATGTCTAGTCAATTTGGTGTTGATCACAGAGGCACCTTACTACTGTTTCATTGTCCTGCGATGAACACAGCTCACTGAAGTGAGCAACAGCTGAACTGCCTGGCCTGCTGCCCTAACTGAGCCTCCAACAAAGCTTGTTCAGCAGTTACTCTAGACCTTTTTCTTTCACTTTAAACTTAAACATAGCACAGTTTCAGTAAGCACAATGCAGGGCATTTTGTGGCCGTTGTTGAGCTTGTGTATCAAACAGATGTTCTTTTGGCCAATATATTTATATGCTGGAGGGAAAAAAACCTTTGGAAGCAAAGAGATAGCTTTCACCAAATGTCTAAAAGCTGCAGAACAGCAGCTGTGTAAAAGTAGCTAAATAGAGGGGATTTGAGCTAGAACTATAAGTAATCTTCAGCTCTCATGGATAGAAGGTAATGATACTAGAAAGCAATCTTTTTCAAAGCAATGATGAGCAAGAAATCATTGGCACTGAGTTTAGCAGTGTCTAACATACATTTCAGGCACCCCTGCTATTTCCCGTTAGCACACACACAAATTTTAAGTACAAAAGTATTCTGACTCTTCGTATCCCTACTGGTTTTGCTCACAATGTTGATTGATTTCTGTTCAGACAGGAATGAAAGAAAATGATACCTTTTGTAGTTAACAGTCAAACTTGCCAAGCAGGTTGCCAGAAATGAGAAGAGTTGGAGATCAGACATTTATAAATGAGCACTTGCATTGTGCCTGCAAAGAAAACAGATTAGCTAACATATGTATTGTTGTAAGCAAATGTGCATCTACACACAAATGGAGCCTTCTGCATGGAGGATAGTATTACCAACTACTGATGATGAATGAACCACTCTTTCACTTTTAAAAGCAATGTGTACACACATCTTGGACTCAAGCCAAAGACTCCCTTTCGATATGCAATCCTATTGATTACAACTGTATGATGGCAGGACAGGTGTCAAGGGTCAGCACCTACAAAGGGCACACACTGACAAGAAACCACAACCTGCTCCTCTTCTTCAGCACTGCAGCTACATCTCATCCTGGTCCTGAGGAAGGGAGCAAGCAAGCAAGCAAAAATAATGAGGGTCACGAGCAGGAGCAGCTGGTGACACTGACAGTGAGGGAACAGGCTGACTGAGGGAGACCCATTGCCCACGGCCCCCAAAAAAATAAAGCTGGCACTAGTAAAGTTCTCAGATGAAGACAGACCTGTAATAAGTGTAGGTGTGTGTCTGGTCCCTCCACTGTTAAGATGTAGAGAGGAAAACTGGAAGGAGAGACTAGTGGCTGAACACACAGAAAGCACACAGTCCCAGCAGGACCAAGGAATGAAATGGAACAATTAAGAACATACTCACAGAAGTCCACATCCAAAAACAAGCGTCAAGAGTAAGCCAGAATATCAGGATATATCCAGACTGAGAGTTACTGGCACTGCCAAAATGCAATTTTGGGGTGTCCAAGTATCTGATATTTTCAAGGACATTCCTCTGTTTGAGGCAATCTTCCATTTGTAGATGTCCTTTGTATGAAGTGCTGTCCTCTCCAGGTCAGGATTATAGATGGTAAGGCAGGAGTGTAGGACCTTGGAGTTGTCCATCAACAGCAGCTGGTCAGCACGCTATGCAGGCCCACAAGTCACCTGCCCAAGGCCTTCCACACAGTAATGAAAGGGACAGTATTTCTATTTAAATTAGACCTCCTGTTATGGGCATGTTCTAGTCATTCTTTCATCTGTACATATAAACCAGCATTTGCAGTGTATGTCCCCTCTAGCCTTCCATGTGTAACCTGCCACCAAAAGTACAATGCTTCCATCTTCTTCTCCTTAATGGATTTTCCATGGTTAGAAAAAGTGTGGGAAGACTCAGGGGATTATGGGTGGAAGACAACATTGCACATACCCTTGTTAAATCTTGTGAATGCTGTAGGGCAATGGTGCAATGAAGGCCTCAACCGGAAGCTCCCTGAGCCAAGGAGGTCAAATGAAAGAGGTTGGAACAACAAGGTAGAGAAGTAGCAGACAGACGGGGTAGCTGGCAGTCAGACATGGAGAACAAAATCAAGACTTTCAAAGGAAAGACCAGATTTGGATTGCTGCAGATCCACCCTAGAAGCTAATAGAGCCAGACCAAGCTTGCAGAACCCAATGCATTCTGGGAAAGGAATGTTGCAGTTATCCTAGAATCACAGCACAGTTTCTCTGTCATCCCCTGTGCCCACCCCAAGATCCCCCAGTATGTAGATCACAACCCTGCTGGTGCCAGTCCCGGTAACTAATATGCCAGTAGAATCCCAGGTGGGTTTCATATTTAGAAAGTAGATCCATTAGTCTCTCCTTGTTTTCTATCTGCAGTAGGATCTCTGTGAAGTTGTGCATACCCCTTTCCAAAAGCTTCACGGTGGCTTTGTAAATTATTTTTCTGGCAATGAAGCAATCACATGCCCCTTCACCATTTAGTCAGAACGGGAAAGAGGAAACAAAGAGCATTCATTCCACCAGCCTCTCAACACCTAAAAGCATTTTGTAGATGGTCCCTAGGTGGCTATGCCCACTCTCTGCAAACTGGTACTCCAAAGACCCGTTGACTACCCTTCTGCATCCCCAAGCAATGCTAGCTGGGATGATGCAAGGGATGCTGTGAGCATCAGGTTGGGAAAGTCTGAATACAGTGATCATGATGATCAAAATGTCATGGCTGAATTCTATCTTGTTGGTATATAGCTTTGACAACTTGCTTAAAGAATGTGCCATGAATGGCATTTTCCTCTATCAAATTTCAGGAATAGTATGAAATTTGTGGAGGCACCTCCAGGTTTTAGGTCTCTCTCAGCTGACGTTACTAAGCCATGGAATTAAGTTAAGGCTTGGGGCTGAGGTGGTATTGACAAAGCTATGTAATTCTTTCCCATCCTCTAAGGTAGAATGTCTTGGAGAGAAGCAATTTTGTTTTCATACCTGTAGTCTGACTCACAGTCACTCCCTCTAATCTCTTTAAGATCTGTTTAAAGACGTGAAATGTTAAAGATTGGTTTGACCATCTTTTGTGCTGATGGGAGTGTTGCTGTTTGGTGCTCGGTAATTAATGCTTGCGTTTTATATTTTGGTTTTACGATTTCGATGCCTATGTTAATATTTTGTCAGGGTAAGCCACCCAGACAACATTGTTATCTGACAGCATATGTGTCTAAATAGATAAAAGTGAACTAAGCTTGAGTGCCAACAGACTCATAGAATAATGGGACCATTGAAAGAGAAGAGCAAGTACAGCTGTTTTGAGCAGCCTTAAAACATAAGGAATCATACTGGATTTAACCAGGGATTCATCTAATCCAGCATTACCATTTGCTGCCCATACAAAACCCAGAGGTAGGATATGAACCTTCTGTCTTTGTTCCCCAGCATACTGCCTCTGATAACATATGGCCGTGACTAGCAAGCACTGACAGCCACATCATGAATGTGTCCAATCCCCTTTTAAAGCCATTCATATTGGTAGCCTTTGCTACATCTCATGGCTCCGAATCCCCTAGTTTTAACTTTTATCTGTTCCAACCCTCCCACCAATCAGCTTCACAGGATGAACTGAGTTCTAGTATTGAAAGGGAGGAAAAATACCTCCATTTCCATTTTCTGCACATCATGCATAATTCTTTACAGCTCTATCATGACTTTTTCTTGCCTTTTTTCTAAATTAAACAATCCCAACCACTGTATGCTTTCCTCACACGGAAGTTGCCTCTTGATCATTTTAGATGTTCTTTTCTGCACTTTCCTCAACACTGCAATATCCTTTTTGTTACCCAAATTGTATACTCTACTTTATTTTTCTTTCCAAATTATGCATAACGTGGAGATTGCCTTTTTTCACATTGTGCATGTGCATGGGATTGATTGGATTGATAATTTTATCAACCACAACCCCAAGATTTGTTTCTTGGTCAGTCACTGCTAGCTCCAATCCTATCAATTTATGCTTGAATTGGGAATTTTTGTCCCAAATGCATTATTTTACACTAGCCTCTACTGAACCATATTTGCCATGTTGATGCCCACTCTTCCAGTTTGGAGAGATCCTTTTGGAGCTCCTCACAATCCTGTTTTGTTTTAACAGCCCTAAATAATTTGATGGCATCTACAAACTTGGCCATATCCCCGCTTACTTGCCATGCTTCTGCCTATGTTGACTGGGGGATAATAGAACTGTTCAGGAAGGCAACTTGGGGCAATCACAGTTTTGCAGAAGTGTAAACAAACATCTTTAGGAAACAAGAGCACAGAGTGGGGAGAAGACCTATGCCAGAACAGTTGTGTGTGCAGTGCCCACAGAATTCAGAGGCTTTTCAGGGATGGGGAACAGAAAATGGGAATGGAAAATTTGGAATGGTATATTCTGGGAAAGGCATGGCTGCTTGGCTGGGACCCTAAACAGGAGCACTCCACGCTGCAAAACATTGCTTCAAGTCCCACTTGCATAGTTAAAACTTGCATCAAAATATTTGGATTCAACCCAGTTTAGTTGCATTGATCTCAGTGGAACTAAAGACAAGTTGTTGTTGTTTTTAATTTAAGCATGGGCAGCGAGTCTTCCAAGCATGGACCGCATCACTTGTATATTCTTTTCAGTGCCTTTGTCAAAGAAATATTTAATGATAGCAGAAGAGCTTATAAAGGCTTTGTTTTATTCATTTTAAGTATTTGATATGATCTGCTTTGAATAATTCTACAAAGTTGGGTTCTGAATTATTTTAAAGAAATGGCTAAATGAAGTACAGTAGTGAAGCCCATGATTTATACTTGCTGGGTTCTGTTAAAGGATCCCTGGTTAAGGAATCTCAGTTAAGAGATCTGGGAAAAACTTAGATACTAAACTTCAGAAACCTGCTGCAAGGCAGAAATTAGAGTACTGGGTTGACTCAATAAAAGGCAACCTCTTCTTATACAGTCAATGTTTCCAGGTGAAGCTTTTACTAATGTTCACTCTGCCTCCTTTCCAGAATTCTACATGAGGACCACACAACAAAGTCTTCCAATATTTTCCCACCATTTCTTTCTTACCATGGAAAACACCATTAAAGGGGGTGGTGGCATCACTTCAAAATATCCTTTGATTGCTAGAATTAGGAGCCTTCTATCTAGAAACAGCCTACATTAAAGCTGTAGTTCTGTGATTGTTTATGCAGGAGTAAGTCCCAATATTGTAAAAAGGGCTTGGTGAATATGTTGTTAGAAGCCCTGTGGCCAGGGAACTTGATATGGGTGAGGACTAGAAGACCTCCTGCCAAATCCTCCACGGGCCAGGGCTGTGCCCCCTGGTGTCATCCAGTCCCAGACAAAACACCAGCTTGAACTCCTCCGGGTGGCATTCTGGTTAGGGACCTCGCCTGACCATATGTGGGCTTTGCCTGGCTTTTCCCATGCCCATCAAAGTCACCCCAAATACATTGAGCTGGAGCAGCACTCCTCTAAGCTGATGCCCAAGTTAGTAGGGCAGCTTTGTCTGCCTCACACCCTCTCCTTAGCATGCTGTTCCCTCTCCTAATAGAAAGGCGGAATGAACCCAGGGGAATCCATAGCAGGGATTCCTCTCCAGGCCAGCCTTCAGTGAGCAGAGAGTTGTGGCGAGAGTCTTGCCTGAAGCCTTGTGGGCCCAATGGACTGGGGTTGTGGACCAAATTTGCTCCATGGATTGCGGGTTCCCCAAGAGACAGAAACTGGAGGTTTCTCCTGTGTGGTAGAATGGAAGATGCTCTCAACATGTTAGGGGAACAGATGGCTGGTGGAAATGGAAAATCTACTTTCACAACTTTGGGACTGATCCCACAATCTCAGAATAAAAATCATATGTGGCTTAGTTTCATATAGCACAACATCTCTAGAATCACTCTAGACATACCACAATTTTTCCATAAACTACAACGTCTACTGAAAAATAAAGCCACAGAAGGCTAGAAATGCCACTAAAATGAAAAAAATAGAAGTACAAAAACAGCAAACACAACTGCCATTGAAAATCTGTTCAAACAATCATTTTCTAAACATCAAATACATGATAATGAAAATGATGATGACAATGACTACATTGGATTTATATCCCACATTCTTTACCCTTGAGGGGACCCAATGTGGTTGACATGGTTCCATTTTATCCTCGCAGCAACCCTGGTTAGACAAAGAGTGACTTACTGGCCTGAAGACACCCAGTGAGCTTCACATCCAAGTGGCAAATAGAACCTGGTTCTCCCATGTCTGAGTCCAACACTCTTACCACTACACCACACAGGAAAAGACTTTTGTAATTTTTGGTCCTTCCAAGAACATGGGTAATCTCTCTTCTAAAGATCTTAACTGAGAACTGGTAGCTTCCTAGAGGAAAAGAAGCCATTCCTCAAATAGTGTAGTATAAATAGAGTGCCAGTGTGGTGCAGTGGTTACGAGCATGGGACTGGGACTCAGACAATCTGGGTTCTACTTCCCCACTCAGTCATGGAGGCAACTGGGTGACTCTGGCCCAGTCACAGACTCTCAGCTCAGCCTACCTCACAGGCTTGCTGTTTTAGGGATGAGATGGAGAGCAGGAGGAAAAGCATGATGTAAACCGCTTTGAGTTGATTGAAAAAAGCAGGATATACTAACAAATAAATGAATAGTTAGCAATTGTATTCCATTGGCCTAGCACTTATACCACCAATATCTACATGGGCATTCCAAAGTGCACAGGAATAAGCTCCCAGACAGTCAGGGTTAAGTTTCCAATGAATATCTGGGTGAAATATGCCCATACCATTTCTTGACTCTGTTGTGCACCCTTGTGGACCAGATTGTGTGCCTAGGTGCTATACACCTGTGCACACTGAGGCGGCAATTAACACTCCGGCTGCAACTTATGTGTGGCTATGTTCCATCCCATACATTGGTCCAAGATTGTTTATATATCAACATCCAGCACATTGTTTTAAGGTTGGGAGACAACTGAGATTCAGTCCAGGCAATGGAGAACTGGTAGAATGAGCTCTCATTATTAACATTCTCACGATCACTTTAGAACATAGACTAGATCTTTTAGGCCATTCCAGAGGATGAAATACAAAAACACATATTTCAGCTCTAACTCCATCATAAGTATTCAATATGTGTCATCTTAATGGTTATTTTTTCCTTGAACAATAATAAATAACTGGATAAAGCATCAGCTCACTCACACAGCGAGCACTATTATATTTTCGTAAGGAAATTCAATCTTTTTTCTCTCTAGTTATTATCCATATAAACCATACCACAACCAATTTAGCCCAGAGTTCTGGAACTCTCCCAGGTTAGCTTGGATCATAGTGCACATATTAAGAGAAAGGAAGAGAGGGGAGCAAAGAGGGGAACCACCATCTGAAACTCATTAATCAATTAGAATTTTTAAGGGCTTACATCAAAATGTGATCTATTCTGATAAAGCCAACTCTAATTCACAAGCAGCCTTTGTCCCTTGCGTTATGCATACGTCTGACACAAAGTGCATGGTGTGCTCAGAACGCAGCAGGACAGGAACCTGGCACATGGCTGCACATCGGTCCTTCAGAGTTATGTAAGCCCTGCGGGTTGGAAGCCAGCACAAAAGGGAATTAACAGATATATTTATCTCTTCACAGCTGGTCATTAACAACGCAATGTTATACACATCTACTCACAACTACCCTCCATTCAGTTCAACTGGGTTCCCCCCCCCCAGGAAAGTGGGTGTAACATGGCAGCCTGAAAGTATATTCACTTCCAAATCCATGTTTCTTCATTAGTCTGGTTACAATAATTGCTTGAGCAAAACTGAGGACTGGGGCCTCCTGTTACCTGTCCTGCTAGAGAGGTTTCCTAACCCATTTTTCTATTCTTTGTTGTGGAGGGTTGTGCAGTGGCAGTGAATGAAATCCGATCCATTTTACGGAGAGTTTTTATTGGTTATGGCATGCCAGGAAATACAGCTTGAATTTTGAAAACATATGTATATCCCGGTTGCCAAAGATCATTCCTCTATCCCACCCCCACCCCATCCAAGGATTGTTAAACTGTGTGAAGGGAGAAGTCCCACATCTCACATTTCTAGACCTGCATTTCTGCTGCTTCAGTAAGTACCTCCCCCTTTCTTAATTCAAGGGTCTATCACTAAACAAGAGGAAGTGCAACACCAAAAAAGAACCCAACCCTGAATAAAATTGGCATGCACTCAGATGTCAAATGATCACAAATTAGAGATGATTACTATAATTCTATTTATTTATTTATTTCAAGCTTTTCTAGACTCACAAGAGGCACATGGCTGTCTGGATGACTTACAGCAATAATTTAAGCAGAAATAATGGAAAGATCTCAGTGGAGTTGAGTGTGACCAGAGGACCTATGTGCCTGCTCCATCCGCTCTCCAGGCATTAACTGCTGATACCAACTTGAAGACCCCTCCTTGCGGATAGTTCTTTAAGCAGGACAGCCCATCCAGTACAGGATTATCATCTGTCAACCCTTCACCAGAGGACTCTTCCCTGTAAATTCAAGGCTGGTTCACAGGACTGTCCCTCAAGCCAAGGCCAGTTCAAGTATGTGAAGCATCTTCTCCCTCCGGGAGAAGGAAGCTTAATCTAAAAAAAACAAATGCAGTGCCTTGCAAATGCATTCTTGCAAAGCAAGAATGAAGCTATGAAGGATGACCTGGAAACATAAACCCTAACCTGTGCAGATAATGGAAAATGACAGAGCCAGAGAATACATCAGTCTGCAGTCTGGATCCTGTAGTTTATTTGTAGAGATTGTCTGTCTCATGTACATACTGCATTCTAAGCACACGAAAGACTGGTGCTGGGGTGCAGAGATGCAGATACATCAAGTTCCATTTGGGAAAACAGGGGCCCAAACAGCCTACAGGCAAGTTCTTTGATCCAAACCCTTTGCCTACCTCTCCAGCAGGCAGGTAGTGACCTGCATTTTTCATAACATTTGAAACAACTTGGTAGGGCGGTGATATGATAATTGCATAACCAGGCAGTACCATATGATACGGTATCTTCTTTGCATGCTGCTAAGCAGAGGAACCCTGCTGAAGCCCATCTGCTCCAGTAGTTTTCTGATCACTGGGGCCAGCCAGATCCCTGTTGAAGCCCTCATTCAGACCCTGAAAGCAAAACTACTCTTCTTTCACGGTTCCACTGTAGCTAGTTCCCAGAGAATACCATTCCTAAGTAGGAAGGCTGAAAATAGAAGTCACTCATAGGACTTTTTTTTTCATGGAGTTGCCTAATTCCCAGGTAAAGCCATCTAAATGGGTGGCCGTCTACACATCTTGTAGCGGTGAAGTCCATGGTTTAAATGCAGTACTTCTGAATCTCTTACCGTCAGTTTCATTGGATGACGCCATGGAATGGGGGAACAAGAGCCCTTTGGCACTTCCCAAAGCACCTTAGCCCTAAAGCTCTTGATTTTTAGGGCTTAAAAATCTTCTCATTGGTGGGATTTACTCCAGTCTAGGTTCCCCATGATTCTCCATGCAGAGCTCCCCATGCAGAGCTCAGAGAGACATTCTTAGGAAATGAACAGAGATGGGTGCAGGGCAGAGCTGTGCTCTGAAGTGCACCCAGGCACTGAGAAAACGAGAAAAGAAAAGGGAACTCTTGTCCTCCCTGCATGGTATGACGGGGAAGTGCTTAGAGAGCAGGGAAGCTGCAGGACAGCAGTGCAGCAGCTAGGAAGGGCACCTCAGCATTGAAGGAAGGCCAGCAGAAGGTTAGGAGAATGGTCCAGGCCAGCACAGGTTTCGCTGTTTGCTTTTGCTCCTAGGCATGCCGCCTTCTGGCAGACCTTTGGACTGTCCAGAGCGCTTCCTCAATATCCCCAATGTGCTCACCATTCCCTAATTGTTCATCACCCCATGCATAAATTTGTACATTTTAATGACACTTTCCCCCTAATCAAGAAAGTTAAACACTGTAGCTTTTCTCTGTAGGGAAGAAACTGCAGCCCATAGAGTTCTGTAGTTACCCCTTGCTGCAAACTAGAAGCCCTGGTCCATGAGAGAGGAGACCAATGGTTCACTTACCACATTATTAAATTTGCCAGGGTAAAACCAGCCAGCATGGAGTAGTGTTTAAGACTGTGGGACAGGGACTCAGGAGATCTGGGTTCTAATCCCCACTCAGCCATGGAGCTGATTGAGTGACTTTGGGCCAGTCACAGAACCTCAGCCCAACCTACTTGTCATGGTGAGGATAACGCTGAGAGGAGGAGGAGAATCACATAGGATGCCTTGAGTTCCTCAAAAGGAAAACAGGCAGGAGATAAAGAAAATAAACAAACAAGCACTGGCTTGGGGAAGCGCTGTGGCAGAAGCTGCTCTCACATGGCCCAGACCATTGAATGTTACCAGGTTGAGACAGGAAAGACACATGCAGCCAAAGGTCCTGAACTAGGCTTTGCAAACCGGACACTGTCCAGATGTGTTGGAGTGTAACTCCCACCCCTCCAGCACAGGAGATGATAGGAGTTGTTGTCCAGCACATATGCAGGGGGCCAACTTGGAGAAAGCTGTCCTACACTTTATATTAAAAGGTGGAGACACTACAATATGTATGAGGGGCTTTTCTAGTGATGAAAGGGCACTCTTCACATGCTCTTAAGTATTCTCTGTTACTTTGAAGCATGTGGAAGAGGGAATCCAAGCATGAAAATATATTCCATGGCACAATTAAAGACTCATGGCTCTTGCTGCTGCATTCAGCGCTGTAAAGTTTCCTTCCCACACCTTGGATGGCAAACCTGTGGCTTTTCCTGTAACTCCCGAATTAGTGCATCAAAATATTAATCACTTCTGCAAGGACTCAACGACTCACTTCTCGGATCAATAATTCGGCTGACTGCAGGCACTAGCAGCCTATATTAAACGCCGCTCTACTAAAATCGCAAGCAATGATCCGCTGCAGCAGAGAAAAAATGGCTTGCAGAATATCAGCTAATTTCCCGCTAAATCACCGCCCACATCACAAAACCATTACGCTTGGCACGGCGGCGAAGCCCCAATCCAAGACTTAATGCGTTCTGGAGAGGGGCTGAAGGTGAAATATCTGCCCGTCGTCATCCACTCCCGCCTCCTCTCCGACTTCCTCCTCGCAGCGCGGGGCCGTTGTGCCAAAGCTCTGCCTGCAGCATCACCTACGCGGCGCTGCGCTGGAGGTCGGGAAAACCTGCAATGCGACGGGCGGCGAGTGGCCGGCGGGCGGCGGTTCTGCGCACAGCCCGCTCAGCCGCCTGCCCGATTCAGGAAAGGCAACAGGCTTTCCCTGCGGAGCCGAGAGGGGGACGCTCTCTTCCCCCGATCCCTTCCCCCCAGGCTCTCCGGCTCCAGGACGCAGCGCGCGCTTCGATCACTTCGGGACGGCGAGGGGGGGGGCGGTAACATGATCCCTGCAGAGCACCAATAAGCGAGCCTGTCTCCTTCTCTTGTCTGCATCAAATCAAATCTATCTCCAGCACCGCGGGGTTGGCAGGGGAGCGAGCACGTCCCCTGGGTTTGGGTAGGCTTAACCAAAAATATGTATATACAAATCCCCAAAACACGCCCCCCCCACTGCAAAGGAAACGAGCCTCCTTCCCCATTACCCATCCTATCGTCCCTCAGTAACACATGCTGCGGATGTGTCCAGAGAATGCAAAAAGGAAAGGAAAATTCCCCGTGATCATGTTTCTTCCCTTAAAGCAGTAATGAATGAAGCAGAAGGTGCTCTTGGATGGACGCGTTTTATTCTCTTTGGGTGCCTTTTCTCTCCCCCCTCGCCCCCGACCCCGTCTTCTAGCCGGAGTGGCGAGTCACCAAGCAGAAGACACTCGAAATGGGCCACTCTTCCCCACGAGGCCAGGAGGAGTGGGGGGGGGGGCAATTTCTTGCACTGAACTCCGTGGAAATGACTTTTTCTGAGTAGGCGTGCGTAGGAATTGTGCTCTGGGTTGCCGGTTGGCATGAATTTCCGACCCACAATTAGCCGTAAACGAGGGATCGAGTCATTTGTGACTTCCTCTCCTACCACAGTCACAGGGGGGCCTGAGCTTCAGGGGATCGCTCCCCAATAGCCTTGCCCAACGTCGTGTCCTTTCAAAGGTGCTGGATTGCAATTTCTATCATCCCCACCCAGCATGGCCATTGACTAGGCTGGCTAGGAGTAATGGGAGTTGCAGCGCAACACATCCGAAGACAGATTGGGCAAGGCAGCTCCAGGAGGCTGTCTAAAGAACGACCCCTGTGGGTTTTACTTACCACGCTTTGCTGCAGCAGTAAAAATGACTATCGGTAATGTGCTAACATCCTGGTAGTGCTTCCCATCTTGGATCCCGCCCTTCGGTCAACTTTCTAGCTCCTACCCTGTTGATCGTGAGCGTGCTGTGAACGTACCTTCTAACACAGTACTTGGATTAAAGATATTAGTGTTCCAGGTGGAAAACATACAGTAGGTATCTCGCTTGCACGCGCACGCGCGCTCACACACACACGTGTACGCGCGCGCGCGAGAGAGAGAGATGGCTTGGCTCTCCGCGCCGAGCCGGCCAGCCCCCTGATTAAGAAAAAAGAACAATGCGAACAGTCACGATTAGGGCGGAGGTGGACTTCGTTATCTGCAGACAGACCCCGTGTTCATGCGCAAAGAGCACTGCTGCACAACCCCGAGCAAGCTGCTGAAAATGGAACCGACGATTCTCCATGAAACGAGCCGCACCGCCTCTCCTCTGCTCTTTCCCAGCCCTTGCGCACTTGCCTTCCCATTCAGAGAAGAAAGCGATCCTCGTCCCGAATGGGCTAGACAGACTGCCAGATCGAAAGCCAGACAGACGCTTTGCTGCACGCTTGTTTGTAAACTTTGCCCGCCCAGCCCGAGCCGGCCGCGTGTGCGTTCAAGCTTGCGAAAGCTTTGCTCGCCGCTGCAGCCGCGTGTGTGTGTGTGTGTATGTGTGTGTGGGGGGGGAGGGTCCGAAGCCACCCGAGTGGGGGGATAAAATTGCTCCCTAGCTTTCTTGCGCGCTCTTCTCCGTTTCAATGGGTCCGTGCGCGCGCGCCCTGCTCTTGTTTAGCTCCGCTGCACCCCCCCTCCAAAAAAAGAAAAAAAAATCAGATGTGTTTTCTAATCAGTCTCCCCTCACCCCCGCATCGCGACAGTTGTTCATTAGCAGAGCGCCACAGCATTTCACGCCCGCCTCTCTCTCTCCCTCTCTCTCTCTCCCTCTCTGCAAAAAATCTCACTCACTTTCTCTGCGCAAATGCCCCGAAGTTCTCCTCTCGCAGCCCGTCCCGCTCTCCTCGCCTCGGCAGCCCGGCAGCAGCAGGAGCAGGAGCAGCAGTGCCGCCGCTCTTCATACTTCTGATCTCTCTGTACTCGGTGCTCTCTTTGGGAAACCTTTTTTTTCCCCCGCCAGAAACAGATTTCCTACATTTCATCAGTCCACATAGACTGAACGGAAGTTTAACGCTTACTTTGGGGTGGGGGAGAGAGAGAGAGAGAAACGACGACACGGCAAATACAATTGACACCGGTTTACCCTTGAAACGCAGAGGGATTGAATTACAAACTATTGGCAGGGACTTTGGCCTGAGAAAGATCCAGCTCTTACTTTTGCGGCTTCCAATACTGTAATTCAGGGGAGAGGGGAGACGACTATTTTTTTCTGAAGTATGCAGGCTGGGGTTTATTGGAAGCAGTTAATGACACCATTGTATGCTGTAAAAAGTTTCACTGGGGACCCTGATGACTTAATTTTAGCGTCATTCACGAATAACATCCCATTGAAATCAGTGGCAGTTTTCCTACTGATCTGAAAGGAGAACTTAAAGGCTAGTTACCGGTTTATTGGAACATTGGTTTTCATGAGTTCTTTCTCTCATTCTTTCTCTCTTTCTTTCTTTCCCCCTCTCCTTTTCCATTATCAGACATCTTGGAAAAGCCATGGAAGATCCATCCACTTCAACAGCTACCCTGGATTCCCTGCCCCCTTGGGTGCTCCCCCACAAGACACATTTGTATCTGGCTGCCTTTCCCAGCTTAGGAATTCAAGATGTTCTAGAAGTCAGTTCCCATCAGCCCCAGCCCATACAGCCAATGAACAGGAACACTGGGCAGCAGCAGGTGAAAGAAAGTAATTGTCTGATGGTTTCTGTATCTAAGTGATACCTTTCCCTTACATGAATATGGCACAAACACCTTCCTCAGCGTGGTTCTGATTTCACCGTCCACCCAGAACTTCTCTGCTAAAAGAAATCACTAGGGCTAGTTCACGCATGTGCCTATTTATTAACTATATTCTGATAACACCATAACCCTGTCAAAGACTGCCATTGAATCATGGGTTGTTGTCACAATGTGAATTGTTGTGTTGACTGAACCCTGCTGAGAGAACAAACCATTGTGAAGAACCTATAATTCACAACTCACCAACAAACCATGGGTTCTTCTCATGGACTGTTTGTGGTCAATAACCCACATTTCAGCTCTTGAGGGTGAGTTATCATGTTACCTGAAGCCTTATATCCTGCTGACTGAAATATCTAGTGATGGCTTGCAAATGCAGAGCAACTATCAGCTAGAAGACTTCACAATCACCTGAGGTCATCTGCAATGAAAAGTTCACCTGTTGTGACATCACAGGATGCAACAGCTACATGTCTGTAAATATGCATGTTTGTGGCTCCCTCATAATATTGGTGGTACATGAAAATTTCTTGGTCTCGGTGGTGTAAAAACTGATCCCCAAACAGTGGTTCCTTCAGGATGGCTCAGCCTGTAGATCAACCATCAATGCACAATGCTTCCAATGTCCTACAACATTCCTCTGCCAGATTATTCCAAGAGCACAGCAATCACTATACAGTGGAAGCCAATGCTTATATGGAACTCAGACAGAGGTAGCTATATCTGTGGTCTAGGCTTCTATCTGTGCTACAGATGGAGGCAGCCCTACCATGAAGCAAAGGGAAGCTATCAATTGTGGATCAGGTGAAAATGACTAAGTGGGAGACAAACAGACTTGACACATGGGGAATAACTAGCGGAGAAGTCTGCACAAGCCGTACTGCTATTCATTTCGCCATGCCCCAGATCCAATTCACTACATCCCCACTTACAACATTTTATCAAACATTTTGTCAGTAGGAACTTTCCAAAGCTTCCAGGCATTTTGAAAACAGGTATCTTGTTTTGCCACGACCTTAACATTGTTCTAAGGCAGACGTGGGCAGAAAACAGAGTTCCAGAGCTTTGGATATCATCTCCCAGCTTTCTTAAGCATTGATCATGCCAGTAGGGACTTATGAAAGATGAAGCCAAAACATCTGGAGGTCTACCTTCTGCCCACTCCTGAACTGAAGAATCCCCCATCATTAGCTTTGGGACTAATTACAATTCATTCAGACATTTATTCTTTCTACACTGTCTCAGTCATGTGAGCTTTTGTGACAAAGTTCACATGACTGAGACAGTGCTTAAATTGTGGGAAAGATAGAGTGTCCTAAAATAAAACCTGCAAGCTCTAACTCTAAAATCTCCTGTAGTAAGTAGCTGAGGTTCATAACAGCAATTAAAAATTTTGTAACTTAAATATTCCTTAAACAGCTGGTTCTTGGTCTCCAAAGAGCCTGGTATGTACATTTTATGCTGATACATCCAGTTATAATCAACTGTTCTTGACCTCTCTGTCTGGACTTGATTGCTTGCTTTAATGTCAAGCCATGGGAATTTAATAGCTGAGACTTTCCTTTACAACAGATGTATTGATACAACTCTTTCCAGGCAGATTTTAAACAACGCTTTTCTCCTGAGCACTTTTTCTTTGCACTTGTCCTATCTAGGGCCAAATGAACTGTATCCTATCTTCAGTTCATGGAAGTTGAAGTTCCTTGCCGTTGCCTTGCTGTGAAAGGATCTACAAATGTTGGAAAGGTTTTGAGGCTGAGGAAGGGCATGTGTTCCAAAGCAATGGCTTAAGATAAAAATCATGAAAGGGGAATTGATCCCATAAGGGTGGTGGACATAAGTCCAAGTGCAACCTGAGCTAACCATAGCTAGACACATGTTGTCAGTAAGGAGCTCTGCCTACAGCAGCAACGGATTATCAGAACATGGAGAGGCATCCTGTGTTAAACCAAGAACTAGCTGGTCCAGCCTTCCATTCACACGCTGGCCAAGCGGCTGCCCATGGAAAACCCACAGCAGAGCATGTCCAACAGCACCGTACCACCTGTGTTTCCCAGCAACTGGCATATAGATGCATACTTGCCCTGATACTGGTGATAAAATATAGCCATCATGGCCTGCAGCCATTGATTGCCTTATCTTCTAGTGACAAGCTGCTTAAGGTAGCCGTCCCTACCAATCTATTGAGAGTGATTCTGTCCAAATATGACAGAGACCTTATCCTTGCAGGTGTTCCTTGCCTCACCCTCATTGGGACATGACATTACTATTGTTTAAATAGTATAAAGAAGTCTGCTGATTGATTTACAGGAAATCAATTGGACGCTTTGAGAAGGAAAGTCACAGAGAAAATATTTGAACTATCCTGTTTTATTACGCAAACTGCAACTCTATGCAAGGTTTGACAGGCTCAGATAGCCGTTTTTCTGTGCCCTCTACAAAGTGTGTGTGATGCACAGGCAGCCCTTGGATGATAGCACCAAATATTCATGCAACAACCAGAAGAAACACTGGAAGCCGGTGTATTTCCATCTTGGCTACATTTCTGGGTGTGGCTTCTCCTGCTAGGGCATTAAATGAAATACTGTGCTCTTTGCAGTTTGGTCTGCAAACCAATGCGTACCAATGTGGGCCATAACCCCAATTCATCTAAAGAATGCAGCAATGGATAAACAAGAGACAGCGAGCACCGCACCTCAATCAGCTCAGCCAAGAGCAACAGCCATTGTGCTGTTCTCCCATAGTAGCATTCCACCTAGCCATCTGGTAACTAACATATAATCACTTATTTTCTTCTTTCCTACCTACCTATTTCCCCCCTTGTATTATGGCTAACTGGACTGTAAGCCATTTTGATAGAGGCTCCTTGATTCAGTGATTGGCATTTTAAGCATTTTATACGCAAATAAGATCACTTAACTTCTATGGCATGGTTTCTCTTCTGCAGTTGGCTGGGTTGGCTCCAAAGCTTTGAAGCTCAAACATATAAAGCAAAACCGCGCAGCCTACAGGCAGCAGATATAGGATTGGAGCCAGAGTTCTTATTCTGCTGGTGTCAGCATCCCCAAATGAAGTATTGCACAGAACTCTCCAGCTGGGGGTGATTTTTGCCAGTTCCCCTCCTTCTGCAGCCCACAGCAAACCCCCCCCCCCCCCGGTTCTGCGTGGTCTAGCAAGACTCCCAAGCAGATTTTCAGGGGGCAGAGGACTGAGGGAGAAAAATGCCTCTTATCCCATTCAGTCTGTAGAAAAGTTCTACTTGATCAAAATCATTAGGCTGGTGCAAGAGCCCAGTATTTAGAAGGATATTTTTGCTGTACTCGACCCATCATTTCCTTTCAGTCGAATAGTTTAACATAGTAATCCATGTTATTTTTAATATATCAGTAACAAAAAATCCCTTCCATAACATACAAGAGTAGCTGTCCCTAACAAGATCATTCTAACTCGTTTCTTGCAGTGGGTCCAACAACTACGCAGAGTACCCACATACAAATGTGAACTAGCTTCTGCCGCACCTGGCTGGGCTAAGACAGCTTCCCCAACCTCATGCCCTGGACCAGGGGTCCTCAAACTTTTTCAACAGGGGGCCAGTTGAAAGGTGGCAGCGGCAGTGGGGTGCGGGCACAGCAAGGCGGCAGCAGGCATGGTCCCAGCCGTCCCAGGGCTCGCATAAGTAAAAATAGATTTAAAAATTTTTATTTTTGTTACTTTCAATCCTTTCTTCGTCTTTGTCTCTCTCTTCTGCCCGTCTCTCTTCTGTTTCCCGCTCCATATTCCCGCTTTGTATATGTGTGCAATGGTGGGGGGGGGGGAGACAACAGCTGTCGCACGTGCAGTTGAGCTGTTACAATTTGGGCATGCGCCGGCTCTCTCTCTGCTCAGTTTTAAAGAATGCCTGCACTGGCTCAGAACTTGTTTTCTCCTAGTGAGTCCAAAACCTCTGAGGCAGGCCAGATAAATGGGCATGGTGGGCCGGATCCAGCCTGTGGGCCATAGTTTGAGGACCCCTGCCCTGGACTATGACTGCCCCATTCAGCCATTCTGGGAGTTGTAGTTTAATACACCTGGAGAGCAACACATTGCAGAAAGCTAAGAGTTTGTTCCTTGCAGTCTATAATGACAAGAGGATATGTGTCTGTATTCAACCATCCATCCTGCACCATAGCGCCAAGACCATGAAACCAAGACAGCTGAAATGTGACATGCATCCTAAGGAGGACTGTGCACCTTGGAGTTCTTTAGTTTTAAAACACAATAAAGAATTTTAATTAATTTTAATGTGCTCATGTTGTTGAACCCTGCATGAGCATCTCCAGCATACACATTTGCAGCCAGTACAGTTTGAAGCCAGGGAAATTAATAACTCAAGGCACAGACATCTCTTCCCCACTACTGTGAGGCTGATCTCCCCACAGGAAAACAAAGCAGACTTAAAGAGCTACTGGGGTGCAGCTGGCAGAGGCTGTGCCCAGGAAGACCAGGAGGCAGGCACAACATGCCCGGATTCCTGACAGCTGCATAGGGTTGCTTAAAGCCTTTCTCTTTCCGTAGGTCTTGGGACAGAATTATATACCTATTCTGTCTGCTGCTGTGGGGCAGTCCCCCTCATGGACTGGACTTCTCCCTCAAGGGCGAAAGTGGTACACCATACAGGGACCATGCCTAGGTGTGCCAACCTGCAGGGCACAGACCTGCAGTGTCCAGCTCTGAAAGCTGGGTAAAGCTTTGCTGTATACATATAAGGGCTATTCCCACCTGAGTGAAGGTGGGCCTTTTGGTAGCGGGTGATGGCTGGGTTTGCACAACGTGACAAGCAACCACTGATTGTTAGCACTGATTGCTGTGTTGTCTGATGAGGCCAGTCGTGAGTATTTACCATTATGACTTATCATGGTTGAGAATGGCAATAAGAAATGACAATTTGCTCTGGGATTTCTCCCTACAACGACTGCTTGTTGCAACTTCTGGATTTGGACATCATGGGGAAATCCCTACAACAAAAGAGCCACTTGGCAAAGAAGTCCTGGCAGCGTGACCCACCTAATGGCTTCCCACCATGCAGGCAGAAGAGGCAGCATAACTTCCTATTGGGAAGGAGTGCCTGGTTCCACTCAGCGGGGATCTGCTGAGTGGTGTTGTCCTTTTCATCCAGCTGGTTGCCCTACCATGCCTGAGAGCAGAGCAGGCCCCCTGCCCCTGTTCCAGAGATCTCCTCAGGAGCAGGAAGTGTCAGTTCCTGATCAGCTCCCCTGTCCTTTCCCCTGAATAGCACAGCAGGAACTCTGATAGCTGTGATAGCTCACTCCTCTCCTTGGTGACCTATGGGATATCTAGGAGAAATAAGACAGAAGGAGGTAGGGAATGGAGCAAAGCAACCATGATGAGCCTACCAATCAGTCAGGCTCATTGTGGCCACTTGGCTCTTGGCTGCTTGGTGATTTCCCATGATGTCCAATATGGAATGCAGCTATCCCAGCAGACAGTCACCATGATCTCCTTGGTCCCTATACTGGATGGATTGGGCCATTGCTCCAAAATACTGAGTGTGTGTGTGTGTGTGTGTGTGTGTGAAATCCTGTTTGAAAGGGAAAGAAACATGGGTTTTACCAGCATGGTAGAACGGAAAGCAGCCACTCCGGCAGTCCACTGGTGGCATTCATGCTGCCTCTTGTGCCATCGTTCTGGTGCATTGTCTCTAAAGCTTGATTCCGTGTGCTTTGAAGATGATGGACTGAGCCACAGGATCAGAAAACACCAGAATTTTCCAGAAAATGCATGACATCATACTTTGTTCAAGAGAAATCCTGCATTTGAAATGAAGTTCTGAATCTTTTCCAGATTTCAGGCTATAAACTAGCCAGTTATGTAGATGCGCATTTCACTGCAAAAGACCTTTTTTAAAAAGTATTGGAAAGGTTATGCATCCACATACACACTCCCCCTTCAAATGGTGGATAATGCGTGCTTTAAACAATGGTCCAAAACATATGGCTGGGAAAAGAACATGCCAATTTGTCTATATTTAGTCAGTCTGTACTCTCCTTTTTCATTCGCATGTGATACATTCACTGAGCCTCTATTCCTGTTTTTGCTGAAGGGCCATCAAACGCTAATGTATTCTGCAAAATACAGTCTAACAATCAAAAGCTAGTAAATCTGCACATTTCAGAGCAAGCCCTATGGAAGAAATGCCTGGTTAGGCCCAACTGCCAAACATACAGCTGAAATCTACATTATGGGCTACAAATAATGGAGGGATTTGCACTTCAAACAAGACTTGTGCCTTTTCTGTTTCACACTTGTGATTGAATTTTGTCTCCAAGGTTGGCTTTCTCTTCAAAGAACAGTCTTTAATAAGGTTTGCAGAGGAAACATAAAAATGCTATTTAAAATGCTTTCTGACATCTTGCCTCACATTTTCAGGGCCCCTCAAGATCAACCCCAACATTTTAAACTTTAAGGGTGTAATCTTATGCATGTTAAAACAAAACCAGTTCTGCGACTCATAGCTTTCCCCGCCAGCGTGCTTCTTTCTAAACATGCATAGAATGGTGACTTAAGAACAGACTTACTGGGTTGGCCCTAAAGAGCAACAAATAACATTGGCCTGCCTTCTGTTTGAGGGCACTAGAGAACAGTTTGCTTTCTCTTTCTCTCATTTTAAAGCCAAAGATTTTACTTTTCATGAGGTGCAGACAGTGCCATATGGACCTCTTAATAAAACCCCCAATTTACTGGGGCATACAACAAAGATTACTGTAAGTGCTCTGAAGAGGCAAGTACTCTTTCTCCAGAACAACTATATGGCAATGGGGACTACAGAACCACGACTCGTTTGGCCTCTTCCATATCAGCTCTTTGAACCCGAACAGCACCAGACCATGATGAAGCGGTTTGCCCTCTTGTACGTAGTGGATCAGATGTGCTGGCTGGTATTATGTATTTGTTGTCCTGTAGTGAAAGGGACGGATGCACCTAGTGGCACAGCACTTGTCTTAAACATTATGTGCCTGTTCCCCAGGCTGGCATATGTAGCCCATTTAAGGACATGCCATACAAGCAGTGCTCTAAACAAGCAGTGGTGTGGGCTAGGATTTTAAGAGAATCTCCTTGCCAGGTGAAGGCTTTCAGGCAATGAGAGAAGACAAAGATGAGTTGGAACCTTGGACAAAATGACTGAGAGGAAAGAAATTCGTGATTGGCTGCCATCCTTCATGCCTTAGTACTGGCTCTACTTTGGGCTTCCTCTAAAGAGCATCTGGAAGCTATAGCTGATGCAAAATGCAGTGCCCGGATTGAATACAGGTGTGTGTTGCACCAGTTTTGTGCCTTCTTCACTGGCTGCCTTTTCAGTTAACAGTTCGGTTTTGGCTCTATAAAAGTGTTGCTCTTGCCCTTTGAAGGAAGAAAGCAGTTGTGAGAAGCATGTAGCCCCTCAGGTACTGCTGGCTACTCATCCTTAGCCACAGCCATGTGAGCCAGGGTTGATGGGAGTTAGCATACAGCAGGGGTCCTCAACCCTTTTCAACAGGGGGCCAATTGAAAGGTG